CAAAATTCCATATTCAAAGGCAAAGAAAAAGAACTATTTGAACATGTTCGTCGTAAGCTACCTACTTTATTAACACATGCCTTTAACAAAGATAGTAAGGCCTTAATCGATGATGTTCTTAGCACGATGGGTGACTTCATCAGCAAATTACCAGTAAAAGACCTACTTGGTTTCGGCGTGGATTCAGCCCTTCAACGTATAATCGATACTACACAGACTCAAATTACTAATTTCTACAATAGCACTATGGCCAAGCTTAACGAAATTATTGACGATGTCGCGCCAGAAATGCAGCAACTGGTTAACGACATATTGAAATCTCCTGACATGTTCGCTAGTTTTCAAGGGGTTAAAGATAAACTAGACCCAAGTATTGTCAGTTTGCTTACTCCATTGATGGACCAAGTAAAATCGTTTAAGGAGGAGTTAGCAATGGCCATGAGCAACCCGAAAGCCTTAGATGATTACAGTCAAGCATTTGATAAGCTTGACGTTAAATTAGGTTCCACTCGAACACAACTAGCTGATTTACAGAAATTACTTGACCAACAAATAAATACTGGAGGTCCAATGTTTAAACAAGCCGTAAATATGTTTGTTAGTGACATAACCAAAGAAAGGCAAACATATAAGAATCCTCAAATGTTGAGCTTTCTGGAAGACCACTTCAATACTACTGTTGCGCAGCAGTGTGCTGAATTTTTATGTGAAAAAAAAATGGATTTTAATGACATGAAACTTGCGGACAATTTTTCGAAACTTGCTGAATTTGTACAGAAACAAATATGTCAAATTCAAAAATAAATCTGAACTAGAGGTTTCTTCATTATTATTAATGCATAGAGACGACTAATTTTAGGCTTTTTCTTCAATTCACTGTTTGAGTCATATGTCGAACGTTTAATTCAAGCATTATAAAGTTTGTAAAAACCAAAAACTAAATGATTACTCGTTTTGTTGTGATCAATTTATGGAGATCAATAATTTTTTTTTAAATAACATAATTCTAGACGATGTAAACACATCTGCCGTAGTTCTTAAGATGGATCAGATATCGGTACGATGACACAAAAAATCGTTCCACCTCTTTGGAAGATAATATAAAGATTGCTGTTTAAACATGTAGACTCAAATCTAGCATGAAGTTTTGTAAAATAGAGCTTAAGCTACGCACAATATTCTCGTATATATAACACATATATTTTGTAACAAATAATGAGGTGTAATCGTATTGCACATTTGACAATGCGCTGGAAATGGTTAAAATCCAATTTCAATTATTCTTTTCAATAGATAACATTCATACATTAATTGCTAACTCAAAAGGAAATGTCTTGCTTTTCTTGAGAAAAGCCATCATTGGGTGACGTTTTCAAGTGTCCATAGCTAGTGCATTGACATGCTTCACACGTAAAACAGCAAATTGTGCTATTGCACCGATAACTCTTAACGATGAACACTTCTGTTGATTGATCTAATTTCCAAAAGTCTTGACCAAATCGAAATGTTCGACCGACAAACAAATAAGATTTTCTGCAGAAAACATTGATATTGTTCTTTCTATTCTCTATAAAGCAACATATCGGTCGAATAGAAAATTTTCCCGTAGCAACTCATATTAGATTCAGGTCGCAATTCATTTAAAAACTACAGCGATTTGTTCTTAGTCCACCATGAAAAACTCATCAAAGAACATGCACAGTTGCATGAATAAAAGTACAATTTTGGAAAGTAACAAAAATGATCACAATGCATGTTTTCGACGATGAATAACTTTATTGAAACAGTGCAAGACAAAAGGTAGCTTTTATTTTGTTCGATTAAAAGAACTTCATGATCGACGTTCATGTAATAAAGACAGCCATTTTTCATTGTATTCTTCATTAGCACGACATGCTTCTTCCCACTGTTGAATAGTAACCTGATCAAGTTGAGCGACACTGTAATTAACAAATGGTCTGTAAAACTCTGAATTAGTCTGAAAACTGAAGCCATGCTTGCCCTTCTTGCAACCACCCGTAGTAGCACTTGTGAACACCGCATCACAACAGATCCATTTGAATTTAGTTTTTTGACGTTCTAAACGGTCACGTTCGTCAGGATTATTGATTGCATCAGATTCGATTCTATTTAATAGTTTTGTCATCTCACTCGGTGTATAAATTCGCAGATCGGACGCTGCAACATCATACGGAAAACCATTATGATGTGTACAACTACCTAAAATGATATGATGAATGAGAGTCAGAAGAGTTGAATGTAGATATTTATATACCCATTCTGTTCTCGTTTTCTATATAGAAATCTTTGCATTTGACACATATGAGTAGATCTTCAGCTTTGCGACGTTCTAATTCTATTTCTTCCTCTTCTTGACGTGTACGTGCAAATTGAACATCGGCACAGAATTGACGCAAAAGAAATGGTTCGCGGATGATTGCCACAGACCATCGTTCGATATTGTCAGTTTGTTGTTGACTATCTTCGATGACGAAATCACGGAATCGGGCAAGAACATACGTATAGATGCTGTGATTATGTACAGACGACGAAATAGAACGACCCATATTCGAATCTGATTCGGATCTATTTACTCCTACCAATGCATCCAAATCATAGACGATCATTGAGCGTGCATAGGCAGTAAATTCATCATAGCGATCTTTCAATGTTTCATAGACTTTTCGTTCATCATAGGCACCTTGCGAGGCAAGTAAATGAAGATCGATCAATTGAAGTAGTTGAACATTTCGATCTTTGCCATAAGCAGTCAATCGTTCAAGTAAACCTTGAACACTGGTCTCATTTGGATAGAGTTTGTGCTGAACAATCGCTAGTTTTTCATTGATCACATTTACACCATTTTGTCCACATATTTCAATACGTATGCTACGATTGAACAAATCGACAATGATTCGACCGGTATATTTATAACGTGGTGATAGTTGATAAATAGGATTTCGAGAAATGACAAATTTATTACGTAGAAGAAGTCGAGGCAATGTTTCGCTGCCAATCAAAATTTGATACTGCTGAGCAGCACAATCGGCGATTTTAAGTACTTCGATTTCATTTAGTTGATAATCTGGTTGTGTACGTTGAATGGTCATGCATTTGACAGTGATCATTCGAGTCAATGCACTATATGATGAAGGGTTGATAGCCTTGAATAATGATTACATGTACTTACTTCACTGCGGCTCCGCTAAAATTCGTGGTGGCAATCGCTAGTCGATCGAGTAGTTCTGGTTCGAGTGCCCAGTCCGGTATTTTTCGGAGTATACAAAGACGAGCGTCTGATGACGGTCGACCAACGAAAAATTTGCCGGACATACGACGCAAAAATGCTTCATCCATCATATGTAAACGATTTGTGGCACATAAAATCATCAGATTAGGTACATCTTTAATGCCCTCAATCAGTGAGAGCAATACGGAGATCTTATCAACTTTGCCTTCACTGGAATCTTGCGTACGTTTCGGTGCTAATGAATCGATTTCATCGATTGATATACAACACATTGCATAGGGTACTCGATAGCAACGTGAACACAATGCAATCAATATGCTTTCAGTTTGTCCGACAAGCGGACGATTCAGTTCACCAGCTGCTATCGGTGGACCCACCATTAAAATTCCTAATTTTTTCGATAATTTACTCATTATATCCGATTTACCGGTACCTATTGTATAGAAATAAACACAGTAAAAAATCATATTACGCTCAAAGTCGCACAAACTGTTTATCCAGAAAACAAAATACATTATTTTTCGTAGCACAGTGACATCGGTCACGACGAAACTAACTCTCCATGCAAATATGAACTTACCAGGTGGTCCATACATAATAAGACCTCGAGGAGGTTTAATGAGTCGTTTGTCAACATGTTTACTCGATGCGGCCAGTTCATTTTCAATTACTGTTACAAGTGCCTTTGTCTCATCAATGTTTGTTTCCAAATCGTTGACAACTTTCCCAACTTCCTTTTTTCGATTCTTGATTTCATGGAGGTGCTGTCGAAGTTGAGTCTGTGTTATTTTCGATTTTTCATGGAGTTGATGAAGTTCTCGTGCCTGTTCCGGTTGTGCTCGACCACCTTTCTTGCTCGAAATCAACTTTGTGGAAGTCTGTGTATACTGTGTTTCTTCATTTGCAAGACGCTTCTCTAAATCAAGCACGATATCGTCATGTCTCCAATAGACATCTGCTCGTTCTTTCAGTGCGTTTTGATATTGTTCAAGATCCTCAAGCAATCGATTACGTTTTGCCAAGCGAGTCTGACGAAGTCTTTCCATATGTGGACGTTCTTTGTGTAGTTCACGTTCAGAGATAGTCAGTGGAAGAAAGAAGTCTCGGATTTTCGGAAAGAGACCATCGTCGGCAAAGCCTTCAGCGTGCATCTCTTCGAATGCTTTATTCAAACACCTTGGATCGAGTTGAGGTAAAAATCCTTGACGTCGAATAGCTTCTTCATCACGTAATATATACCAAAAAAAGAGTTTGATCAAATGTAGTTTGGCAAGCATCTCCGATTGCGAATAAGATGATTGATCTACAAAAATTCATTGTTTTATGGTATAGATGACGTCTCTAATCAAACGTAATTGTTGGCGCAGAAATAATGGAGCACTTTTGTTTTCTATTTTTTATTCACTTAGCAATCATTTTAAAATCGGATTCTGATTTCATTCGAAAGAGAATTCATTTCTCTACCAAATCGCTACATGAGATTGCTAAATTGATCTTCCTTATCGGCGTCAAAACAAAGTTTACCATTACCCAAGAAACCATGTCCGGATACCATCAAAACGCAAAAAATTATGGAAGTAGGTTTAAACGACCCTGCTGACATTTCAAGTATGCAGAAATTTCTACATTAAATTCTGCGTCTTTTCATATCACTTTAAAAGCTTTAGAACCAACATCTGAGAGGAAAACTTTTTTCAGTGAAAAGTGTGAAAACGCCAAAAATAGGCTCGTTCCAAGCAAGTCAATAACCGTGTCCTCTTTCTGTTCGAAGTAGCTAAACCGGTTTGACTATTCAAATCACAAGCTGTATGGTTTTGTTTGGAATTAAATTCTCCATACAAGAGTATGAGAATCAGCGTCTTACGAGAGAAATCTGTCCTCGAATAATATTATTCTTTGAGATGCATGCAAAAATTGCGCCAAGTATCATAGTTCGAAGAACTTTTCTTGTGAGCAAAAACAACAAGAACTTTGAAAGTCGTAGTATGTAGAGCACAGAATTCTCTATCTATTGATGTAAAATGGCTTAATCTAAGCATCGTTACTCATGATCGAAGGCTGAAATAAGTCGATTGATATCTGAAAAGAATGAGAATTCACACATGATCTCTTGGATAGGGGCGAATATTGCAATTTTTGTGCCGATAAGAACGGTCAACTTGAAAAATGTGTACGACGGTTTTGTAAAGAAATGAATTGTCTATCGAATGAAATCAGAACCAGATTTTAAAATGATTGTTAGATGAATGAAAAATAGAAAATAAAAGTGCTCCATTATGTCTGCGACACGCTTTACTTTCTAAACAGTATCCACTAACCTGTTGTGAAATCGAGTGCAATCTGATCGTTGTTCTGATTGTTCGAGTCAACGATGATTCGTTGATTTCGTCCGCCCGTAACCGTTTCTCGCTTGTTACTTATGGCTGTTTTCAATATCCTCTTAGCGTTAATTGTCAATCCTAGTATTTGATTCCAATCATTTTCGCTTAATTTTTCCAAATCTTCAACTGTCAAGATATCTTGCTCCTGAAGCCTTTCTAACCACTGTTTGGCTTGATTCCTGTTCGCGTTTTGACATACGTCAGTGATGAACGCATCAAGTGATGTTGTACGCGGTCTATTGACTTTTGATAAGATCGATGAATTACGGTCTGAACCGATATCGATGATTTGACAATAAATGTTTACATTGTCGGCTAAGGTCCATCGATGGGGAAATGTAACATCCGCACCATGCGGTTTCAACTCCATCTCGAATAAGCCATGAAAATGACTATAATTCCATGCGCTGAAATTATCAGTCACGTTTTCAGACGCGGTTAGACGAAAACAAGTTGTCTCTCGCTGAGAAACGGGTGTAGCAGGGCCATGATCCCGCATATGTTGTCGAATAAATAGGTATAGTGGACATTGAACGGAAGTAAGGAAATTTTCATTTTTACAAATTGAAGTGGCTGCTGATTTGTTGGTACTATTCAGATGGGAAAATAGGTACGAATTTATAGCATGATAATGTGTTTTTCGATAGATTTCTTCACTTCACCGTATTCCAGCAAAATTTTATCAATCTATTATTGCTATCTGTCAAGTAAAGCACTGATGATTATTGTCAACAACATAACATCAATTTGATTTATTTCACACGTTAGAAAGAATCAAATCGATTGGAAAATAGTCCAAAGTTTCTTTGGGAATTCTGCACTACACTGAATATTTTTTGCCAGGTATGAGTAAGTATGTAGTCAAAACTTTACAGTAAGACTAAATTCTTGTTTCTAATTTGAATTCTATAAAGATATATCTTATCTTTCGAAACAATCACTGTAGACAGCAAGAGGTAGTATCTCTTTTGTGTCATCGATCCAACATTCAGAAAAAAAATATCTAAGTCGGATAACCAATCCAAATTCTATTTTCTCTAAATATTTTCTTCATTAAGCAGAAGAAACAATGAGCATTGTCGAAATTCTGTTAAACAAAAGTCATGTTGTACCACTAACCTCACTATTTTGGATTTAGTGATTTTTCCAACTACTAACGTGTCACTGTCTAACTTGTTAATAAAGTATTTATTGTACCTACTAACTATTTCAGTTAGTAATTGAAAAAAGGATAACATCAGACGCTAGTAGATAGTTCAACTACTTATTAGTAATTTACTCAAGAAATCTTATGAATTATGTAATTTGCTCTTCGATATTGATAATATTTGCATTGGTCAGCCCTATTACATTCCGATATACTCTGGTAGACCCTGAGGGACCCTAGTGAACCTTGGTAGAGGCCAGTAGACCTCGGTTCATTTTTAAAGGTCCGTACAGATCTTGAGAGATTTTTATAGCCTGGTATAGATCACTATATGCTCTTATAGATCTTTCTAAATTCTACAAATGCTTCCCATAAAGAAAAGACATTTTGAATTATTTTGCGCTCAGGGGTGTCGCGAGGCAGTTAAGATTGGAGCGGGGGGGGGGGGGGGCACAGTGGGCAGCCAGACGACAAAATCGATATTCGAGATTCGTACCCATATCGTAGCTAGCATTGAAGCTACTATGGTCCTGTATTTAAGTGCATCTTGAATTTCGACCTATAGCGAGTATGTAGTAAATAGTAGGTACCACAACGTACGTAAAATAGGTGAATATCATTAATAATACATATAAGTAAAATGTGTGTTTTAAATTAAGGATCTAGTTATATCCGCTAGTTATTATGTAGTTATACAGTGTTATGTATGCACTATACAGTGTTGTGAAAAATTATAGAATCAATAGATTAATTTTAAAGTTTAATCGATTATCTACTAACTTAAACCGATGAAT